TTATATAAGGCATAATTATCGACAAAATTATAGACAAAACCCATTTTAGTTTTTTTGCTGCACTGAAGATTATTTAGAAAAGCTAAACAGCTTCTTATTATTTATCCAATCGGCATCGCATCGTCCATCATTATCCAATCGGCATCGCATCGTCCATCATTATCCAATCGGCATCGCATCGTCCGGGTTTAATTTAAATCTAATTTTAAATTAAAAATTTAATTAATTGTTGTGGAGAATCTTTTTCTGAATAAGGTGATATAAAGTTTTAATACTAAATGAATGACTTTTTTTTATGAATTGGTCAAATTTTTAGTCGTGTAATAATTTGTCAACGGCGTGTCAACGGCATATGTGAAACAATAGGCAGTGACAGTGACAAACACAAAATTGCAACAAAATTTTGAACTAATCCTGGTAGATACACTCATCAGATTATCCAATAATTGCCTTAGTAGAACTTTCAATGACGTCATCATTTTAGTTACCGACTATTTGCAACACCAAGGTCAACCTCTGTTTTCCAAATCGATTCTGTATACGCATAGTCTCCGTCCGGATTAATGGAAGATAAGCATTTCGTGCAGTGGCTCACTGGCGTGTAAGTTCCCAGTATTAAAAAAAGTCCATGTATAAAAGTCAATTTGTTAAAAATTATTTAATTATATAAATTGAACTTTGATTATCCAATTATAGACACTCATATTTTAGTCGCAGATGGACACTTGAGACGTGTAACCTATCGGGTTGTACTTCTTTCTATCGAAAAAAAATCTTGTTAATTTGCTTACCAACTCATTCGTCACATTTTTTGGCAGCCAAAAAAAAATTTGCTTGCAAGCTACTAAAACATTTACGTACTATTACATTATTACAAGCTACTATTTATTTACGTTTTAGTAGCTTGCAAGCAAATTTTTTTAGCTCTGGTGAAGTTTTTACACACTTGAAAATAGGTACTGGGTTTTAAAGTACTGGTTTGCTTCAGCTCAACATCAAGAAAAATTATCAATTTAAATTACAAATTGCTTATATGTTTAAAACACTTTTATCTCAACATCAGCTTTTTTCATTTCAACCACCGGAAAATGCCAGTGCTATCACCTCTATCATCACCATCTCATCTCTATATCACCATATCATCTATATCACCGTATCATCTCTAGTTACATTATCTCAACTACTGTCTTCTGAATCTACACTAACAAAGCCTAGTATCAGCATACCTCGTACAACCCAAGTTCCAAAGTCAATTCCACATTAAACTTACGTGCAATCAACCTTCAATATAACTCGCCGGAAAAAAATACTTCGTTTAAACGAAGTTTTTCAAAACTTCGTCAAAAAAATGCAAGAAATGATGTTATGTAGGTGTCGAAGAATAAAAAACCGCCCATGAAAATCAATAGTATATACGTATATATAGATTTTATTTTTTTTAGAAAAGGATCTACTGCAATAATCTTTTGGGAACAACATTTTATTTTTAAAGTTATTTAATTTTAAATGTTTCAGTTTTAAATTGTTAAAGTTATTTAATTTTTAAATTGTTAAAGTTATTTAATTTTAAATGTTTCAGTTTTGTTTAAATACAAGTAATTCTTTCGTCCCCACATAAATAGATTATGCAACTATTTTTTTTATTTTGTGAATAAGTTTTTTTTTTGTAGTTTAATAGGATGGATTTTTTGTTTTCTAAGTGGAGTTTTTTTAAAGTTTGCCGTTTTTCCTTAACAAGTCTATAAAATTTCTTAAGTGGATTTATTTTTTGTTGTTAATGTTGTTGTTGCTAACCAAGTATGAAATAAGTAAAAGAGTTTAAAATTAATTTAAACAAGATAAATATTTTATTAATGGTATTTGACATTAAATTATTTAATGGTATTTGACATTAAAAGATACATCTTGTGATACAACATATTGTAGATGTTGCCTGAATTCTTCATGAAAACTTAACATCTCAAGTGGCTCTAATTGTTGATGATCCAAATTTATAATCTTGTCTTGACAAAAATCTTCACTTTTTAATTGCTTAAAACAAGGAGCTGATTTTTAATCTGATCTCACTTCTGTGACAGCTTAAGGCTTACCTTAAGGCTTACCTTAAGGCTTACCTTAAGGCTTACCTTAAGGCTTACCTTAAGGCTTACCTTAAGGCTTACCTTAAGGCTTACCTTAAGGCTTACCTTAAGGCTTACCTTAAGGCTTACCTTAAGGCTTACCTTAAGGCTTACCTTAAGGCTTACCTTAAGGCTTACCTTAAGGCTTACCTTAAGGCTTACCTTAAGGCTTACCTTAAGGCTTACCTTAAGGCTTACCTTAAGGCTTACCTTAAGGCTTACCTTAAGGCTTACCTTAAGGCTTACCTTAAGGCTTACCTTAAGGCTTACCTTAAGGCTTACCTTAAGGCTTACCTTAAGGCTTACCTTAAGGCTTACCTTAAGGCTTACCTTAAGGCTTACCTTAAGGCTTATCGATTTAAATTCTGGACTTAAAATTTGCAATTTTTGTTAGACAACAAAACTCATTTATTCACTGAAAAAATATTTTGCAACAATATTGAAGAATAACAACCCTCTTATTCTCAGAGAATGTCTTAAAGCACATTGTAAATGTAATGCGGTCATGGTGTAGTGGTAGAGCGCTCGTGTCATAAGTGAGAGGTACCGAGTTCGATACCCACCACGTCCCTGGTAGTAGAGCGCTCAACCTTTTCCTCTGCATAGCCACTATGATTTTTAAAGTTTGTGTTTTGGAATTATATAGTTAAGAGAAGAATATAGCCACAATTGAGTAGCCTCCTTGTCTGTATGGCGTTTTCAGCCTTGAGGAGATGAATTAACAAAAAATAAAAATAATAATAATAAATTAGACCTGCTTTATCTGCCAAGCCTGAGCCACTCTACCATTGTTGTAAGGTTGCATTTATTTTTATTTTTCTACAAATACAATCATAGTCAATGCTCAAACAAGCTATTCTCACTATTGCAATAAACCAAAACTCATTCTTGCTTGTTTCTTATGCAAGAAATTTCATCCTTTTACTGTATTTGTCCCTTCATGCTATAAAAACTTTTATTAATCCATTTTTTCTTCTTTGCACATCAAAAAAACCTAATACCTATTAACCATCTTCGTTTTTTTCTTTTATATACAACCTTTTCAAGTCTTCAGTTAACCATTTCCTAATATTTTTACTTACTCTTTATTTTAAAGTAGCTCATAAATTAATAGTGGTTGATTGCAATTTTGTTGGAAGTAAGTTAGAGTTTGAAAATATATAAATATATGCCAGTATTTAATAAATAGTAATTGTAAGCATAAAATTATAAAATAAAGTATTATAAATTTTTTTCTAGCCCTGGCTATCAACCCCTGCTGAATTTTATAGTTGAGCCGGGGCTGGGTCCGAGACCGAGACCGGATTTGAAAAAAGTTTCATTTTTAGTCGGGACCTCAACCATTAAAAAATTAAAGAAACAACAAAAACCAAATTGTTATTAAAAGTTGTTATGTATAGCTTTTTTTCCACCTGTGGCAAATTTATCTCATAATACAGTGGATGCATCTGAAATTCCAAAAGAAACAATACTAATAAGTAAAAACAAAATGCTTAAAAAAGAAAATAAAATTTGAAAAAGGAAAGTGGAATCTATGGAAAGGAAAATGGAATCTATGATTAAAAAATAAATTATTTTATACATCTAATAGATTTTAAAGGTATGCAATCTTGAAGATATGCAATTTAGAAGAGCCATTAAAGACAAAAGTGCTCCTTTCTTAACTAAATTTTTATCGCATAATCTTAGTTGTCAAAAGTGACAAAAAAACGTTTTTGTAAAATAAAGGTAGATGGAAGCAAAAGAATAAACTTGTCTTCGGAGGAACTATATCGAAATCTCCTGATTGTCATTCAAGCAAATTTAACACTAAACAAACAATCTTTAATTAATATAAGCTATAATATAAAGCTTCGTACGTTATGCAGCTGTTAAGTGCAAAATAAAAAAAAAGAATTAATGGAAAAAATTCATGATGCAAGACTAAACAAAATAATAGAGCAACAAAATTTCTCGAGTTAAAATTTCCGGGAAATTTTTAGCCCATACGATTTTATTTCTAGTAGAAGCAGATTGATGGTAAAGATTTTTATAAAAAATCATAAACTATTATGTCTGAGGGAGGTTTTGATCTAAGGAAATTGACAACAAACAGCTAAGAGTTACAACAATATTTTGATTTCAAAAAAAAAAAGAAAAAACAATATTGGTTAGAAATCAATATCTTGATAATCTTGATCTAATCTTGATAATCAGGTTCAATCTTGATAATCAGGATAAAAATGTTTGAAACAAACTCTGGACATATTTTCGCGAAAAATAAAGCTTTAGTGGAAAGAATTATAAAGAAAAAACACGAAAAAAGATAAAAAAGAAATTAAAAAAATCTTAAAAAAGATAAATAAGAAATTAAAAAAATCTTTAAAAATATAAAATAAAATCTTAAAAAAATCACTGAGAGTAAAAAAGATTTGTTTTCGCAAGAAATGAAGAAATTCTGTAGAGTTGCATGGATTTTGTGAAAGCTCAAAATATGTTTATTATGCAGTTATGTTTCTGAAAATAAAAACAGTGTTGTAGTGAAAAAAAATTTTCTTTAGTTGCCAAAACAAAAGTTGTGTCATTAAAAGGTTTGAGCATTCCTCGTTTGGAGTTTTTAGGTTGTTTATTGTTAAGTTCGTTGGTAGGTGAAGCGATTCGAGTGATAGGGAATAGAGTGTCAGTTAATCAATGTTTTTGCTGGACTGGTTTTTCAGTAACATTGTGTTGGATTAATAGAAATTAGAAGATTTGGTAATCAAGGTAAAAATTGGTTAAAAGTTGTGTTGTTCTGATTATAAAGTTGGTTGAGAAATGGAACCGAATAGCAGGTGTAGAAAATCCGGCTGATATTCCAACTCGAATGGTTTGTTTTAAAGAATTGAGTGAAACTTAAAAATATACATTAGTAAATATAGTATATTTAAACTTATTTTTATTTTGTATATTTATAATTAAAAATATACACGCGAAAGTATTGCGTGATATTTAAGAATATAATTGAAAGGGTTGTCAGTGTTTTTTTTTCCTTAATTTGTCCAATTATAAACTTTTTAACATATAAAATTTTAAAAAGCATATATTTTTATAAATTTCCTCTACTTTTGTTGTATGTATTGAATAAATAAAAGAGTCATTGAACTTTAAATTCTTTTAAATCTACACTCAGTGTTCTCCACCAATAGTTTAATAAATGACTTGGCCAAAGAGTAAAGTTTTCTCCATCTTTGTTGAGATACCAGGATCCACAAGAACTAGAAAACGGACGTTTTTTCGTCTCGGACGTCACGTAACATTGGAATTCGTCATTAACTTTACTTAATACCTAAACGTATTTGTAATAATTATAAGTGATAGTAAAAATTAAAGTAACAACAAAGTTATAAACAAAATGTAATATCTAAACTTAATATCTAAAAGTAAAATAATACTGATATAGAGAAAACTTTTTATCCTGAACTCTTACACCATAATTTAAAAAAGATAATGGAATCCGAACTCAAAAGACTTGATTAACTTTATCTTTCTGAATACCTCATTACAACTTTTTTATTTTGTCTTATTATCTAGGTAAAGTGCAAAGGTACAAGGTTTTGAAAATATTTTATTAGAAATCCTCACTGTGAAAATATTTTCTAATAGAATAAAATCATATTCTGAAAAAAATATTGATATAATATTTATAATAAAAAAACTTGATAAAAAAGTGATGGTGAAAAATAAAAATTCGAATAAAAGAGAAATATCGAAAGCTTATTTCAAACATTCTGGTCATGTTAGCTAATAGAAATAAAACAAGTAATTATTATTAGACCTAAATGTAATATGTATTATTTGTTTTAAACTTTAAATTTTTCAAAAAAATCAGTAGTTTTTGATAGTCATTTATAGGTTTGATAAAATTTATGCCTTTGAATAATCTCTAAATTTAGTATAAAGATTAATGCTTGAGTCCAGAGATGGCACACATTGCTTCATTAAAACTTGGTTTTGAAGCATTGTCAGAAACATCAACGATATTCACTGGATTCTTCTTTAGATTTAGTAGCATCAAGTGTAGAAACTTCGACAATGACGTATTTATCTGATGATTAGTTGACAATGTAAACACCTCTTTGAGCGTGAGATTAAAATTAAGTTTTGCTTTTTAAGATCATTTTATACGCTTAAAGTAAAAAGCAAAACTTAGCATTTAGAAAAAAAATTTACTTTTCAGTTAGTTTACACTTCTAAGATTCTTTGCAACACAGTTTATTTTGGTAGGTTCTCTAAAAAAAGGAAAAAAAAAAGGCCCCAAAATTTCAAAATGGGCCCCTTAAAACCGCTTAACCCTCCACCCTTCTTATATTGGGGTGTGTAGGGAAAGCCTAGCAACGACTTTAATTAAAACTATCCTTTTATTTGCTAGACAACTTTCCCAAACCCTCAGTCAACGTATGTATAGTAGAGCCTACGAAGTGTGTTTTAAAATAGTTATATTTGTAATAAAATTAACTGTTTTTAGATTTGAAAAAAGATAATAACTAGATATAAATTAACAGCACGTTTACAACGTTTACAGGTTTACAACGTTTACACGTTTACACTTTTTTTTTTCTGTCAGCCGGCTATTTGTTGTATTGACGTTTCTCTTTAAAAGATAAAAGCTTTAAATATTTGTTGTATTGACGTTTCTCTTTAAAAGCTGTAAATAAAGTAAGCAGTAGTCTCTTTAAGTAAATTGGGATATATATATATATATATATATATATATATATATATATATATATATATATATATATATATATATATATATATATATATATTTATATATATATATATATATATATATATATATCATACATAAGTTGATTAAATATTTTATATATTCATATAAAATAGTAAGTCGTATACGGAAAATAGCCGGCTGATTGAAAAAAGTACAATAGCTCAGAATGTTATGGTTAATATATACAGTATTGGACAAAACATTTTCAACCAATATCGAACAATGCTAAAAAGTGTTCCTAATTTTACATGTCTTAAAAACGAAACGAACTATACTACCACAGCAAACAGCTTAGGATTCTGGAGTCATAGCATGCCATGACATGAGCAATCAGCTTCCAGGTGACAGCACACATGCAGAATTTCGTTGACAAATGCCATTTTGCAGCGGACAAAACAAATGCAACTTTTTTGGTTTGTTTCATTTTCTTAATTCTGGTCCGTGTCAACGTCACGGAAGTTTTTTGATAATTAAAGGAAGTAACCAGAAGTTTCTAGAAGCATGCAAAAGCTTTCAGAAGTTTCTAGAAGAAGCATCTGGAAGCATCCAGAAGCATCCAGAAGTATCCAGAAACATTCAGAAGCATCCAGACGTATTCAGAAGCTTCCAGAAGTATCTAAAAGAAGCATCTAGAATCTTCCAGAACAGGTTCACACAGGTTCATTTTACTATATAAGAGACATCTAAACCATGTAATTCAGTCATCAAAGTGTTTTATCAAAGAACATCAACACAAGAAGTGAAATACAACAAGTGTTTCATTACATCAATACAGTCCACATCCAACCAAGACGTTGTGTTTCACAGAGCATTAATTGTATCATCACAAGGTTAATGTAGCACGGTAAGCCTTGAGAAGCGTGATTATTTATTTTTATTATTTTTACGACTTCAAGTGCAAAAATGGCTCCCGACATTCTTGGATTGGAACTAAGAAAGAAAATATTGACAATTACGTAAGTGGAATGTTACAAAAAAGTATTTGTGATAAATATCGCGTGAAAAAATGGACCGTATCAAGACTATGTTCCAAATATCGTTCTACGAGAAAGTTGGCAGCAGATAACAAAGGTGGAAGACCGCGTTCCACCACTTCTAGGGAGGATTCTGATCATCAGATCCGTCAAGAAGAATCCATGGATATCATCAGTTGAGATACAAAAGCAATTAGAGCCGCCTGTATTGGACCGAACATTCAGACGACGTGCTGTTGAAGCAAGATTGTTTTATCGACGCCCTGCAAAGAAACCGCTGATTTCACTAAAAATCCAGAAGAATAGACTCCTGTTTGCTACATCTCATATTGACTGGAATGCGCAGAAATGGCGAACTGTCCTGTTCAGTAATGAATCGAAGTTCAACATCATTAAGAGCGATGGCATTTGCCGTGAACGTCGACCGGCCAGAAAATGCCTCGATTTACGTTACTGCCATAAGACCATGAAGCATGATGGAGGCAATGTAATGGTCTGGGGTTGTTTTTCTGCTAACGGTCTAAGTCCAATACATCGAAACGATGGAATAATGGATCGTTTCATGTATAAAAATGTCCTGAAATAAGTTTGTTACCTTATGCTGAATGGAATATGCCAATAAAATGGGTTTTTCAGCAATAAAATAGAAGAGTTATTGGCTTACAAGTTATTTCAATAGAAGAGCTAATGACTTACAGCCCATACATTAAGTCATTTTAATATAGACCGTTATCGCACCTTAGCGGTTCGAAAAAAATGACCACAACAAAATAAACACATACAATAGAGTATTGGTTCTGATTCTTGCGAAAAGCTTTTTAAAATAGTATTTCTCTCACACAATGTGAGCGTGGTTTAAGTAAAAACATTTAATTAGTTCCCAAGCTCTACCTACTGTGATTATTTTGTAGAACTTTTATATTTAACACCAAAATAATCCATAGTTAAAATTTTAAACTCTAAACACAGTGCCATGGCTACATCAGGTTTACACTAAACATCAAATAAATAAATGAATGAATAAATAAATAAAAAGTTTTTATGTTCAATAACAATAAGGTAAATACTCATTGTCGTATTTCTAATTTTATTTGTTTTTTATTAATATTAGTGTTATTATAAACAATAATAGCTGACAACATAATAAGAATTTTTACCTCTAAGAGACTTAAATTCATTATCTGTACATTTAAGAATCCATAACAAAACTTTCACAAAAATGAATGAGTAAATAAATGATTGTTACATATAGTAAGTAACAATAAGTTAAAAATTCATTGTTGTATTTTTAATTTTGATTTGATTTTATTTATTATTATTATGTTTTGTTAATAATATTATTATAGTATTTTATTATTTAGTATTAGTATTATAAACAATAATTGTTGACTACATAATAAGAATGTTTACCTCAAGAGATTTAAATCCATTATCTGTACATTTAAGAATTGCATCCATAACAAAATTCATTTGGCATTCAATCATCCAAACAACACTGTTGTGCCCTAAAAGAATTGTAATTAAATAAATCCGTTGGGATTTTTTTTGAAGGAAACTTTTTTCTTCAATTTTTTAAAAATAATATAAGAAAAAAATGCAACAACAATTTTTTTCCGCCCTATAAATAAAATAAACACAAAAAACAACAACTAACAAAAAATAAAGTTATTTGAAAACTGAATTTATAAAATAAAAGTTTAGACGCTGCATTAAAATATTACAATACCTAATGCTGTGTTTGGTCCAAGAAGATAAAAAAGATTTGGAAAACCCGGACACATTATTCCTAAATATGCGTTTGGTTTATTGCCCCATCTTTCATTGAGTGTAACTCCATCTGGTCCTATTATATTCAAACTTTTAATTGAAGCTGCAACGTCAAATCCTGTTGCATAAATTACTACATCAATTTTGTACTCGTTTTCTCCCGTCTTTATACCGTTCTCTGTTAAACTTGTTATTGGTTCTGTAACTAAACGTACATTTTTTTTGTTGAAAGCTTGAAGAAAATTATTTGATGGTGTGATTCGTTTACATCCTATATCATAAGATGGCACCATTTTCTTTTTTAAAGATTCATTTTGTAGTTGATCTTGGATGGCTTTAGTCATAGACTTTTGAATTAGTTTTGTTAAAAATGATTTATTTCGAAATATTAA